AAAAAAAAAAAAAAAAAAAGAAGCTGCTGTAGAGTCCTATCTCCCTCAACAGCATTTTGTGGGAGTTGGAGCAATAAGAAAAAGCCTTGAAGGACTTCAAGGACCTCACCCATACAATAGTAGCAATAACAGGAGAGCAGGCAGGTTGCCAGGGGCCACATATGCCTTCTGCTGGAAGGGCAGAAAGATGAGCACCACGATGCATGCTGGCACCAAGTAGTTACACTGCATTAGAGATGGAAGTTACCCTTGTTAATGTGAAAGGGCAGGGACTATGACCCTGTGCCCCACCCTGGCCTCCCTGCTTTTAAGGTAGGAGGGCCTGATGCCTCTCACAATCCTGAAGACCTCACCAAGCTGCTTTCAACAAGCCCTTGCCCAGAAAGGACAGAGGGGCAGTAGCAAATAGTGGTTAGTCCCCCCCCACCCTTCTAAACAGTCCCCGCACCATGTCCCAGAGAAAGTTGCCAAGCCAGTATAGGGTGGGGGGTAGACCCCCCATGAATTGCAAGTGTTTGGCTTGGGTGACACGCTCCTCGATGAGGACAAGGGTGAAGCTTGCTGGGATGAAAGACATAGCAAAGACCACACAGATGGAGACGAGGACATCCATGGTGGAGGCCATCCTGGAGGTGAGGGCACAAGAATTGTAGGATGAGGTGCATGAGCTGCAGAGAGTAGAACTGAACATGTCATTCATGGGGCAAAGGTCTACAGGGTTACTGGTGGGGGATGTGTTGCAAGTTATTTATTTATTTATTTATTTATTTAGAGACAGAGTCTCACTATGTTGCCCTCAGTAGAGTGCTGTGGCATCACAGCTCACAGCAACCTCAAACTTTTGGGCTCAGGCGATTCTCTTGCCTCAGCCTCCCAAGTAGCTGGGACTACAAGCACCTGCCAAAAGGCCTGGCTATTTTTTTGTTATAGTTGTCATTGTTTTGCAGGCCTGGGCTGGTTTTGAACCCACCAGCCTTGGTGTATGTGGCCAGTGCCCTAACCACTGAGCTGTTGGTGCTGAGCCAATGTACAAGTCATTTAGAGAGGAGGATGGCTAGGTTGTTTCACAGGAGAGGTTGGACAGGACTCTGGTAGGATGAAGGCTACTGGGAAAGGATAATGTTCCATTATCCTGGCCAAAAGATAGGCAGCTCCTGTACCCCATTTACATGGTGAGTGTGGCAGTGTTCAAATCTAACTCCCATCACCCAAACATCAATGACTGAGGCAGTGGAGGGTACTCAGGGCCAAAGGACTCACTTTGTGGCCTCAGAAAGCTGCTCCTTGGTATTGTTCAAAGGGTGGTTGAACGTGGTGATGCTGTATGTATGGCTGGTGGGGCCTGGAGGCAGGTGAGCACGTAGGAGTGCATTGTTGGCTCGGTTAACAAAGGCCACCATGGCATGCCAGCCTTTTTTGTTGAACCACACCTGCGGTGGGGTCAGGGCCACAGGGTCAGGGTGATAAGGCTAGACATTGCTCTGACTGGCAGGATGCATCTGCCATCCCCAGTGCTCACCTTGAGGCTGTTCTGAGCATCCAGGCTATAAGCCCATGCTGTGAGGTTATTCAGGACATGATCAAGGGCTCCACCAGGTTGGGGCCTCAGCAGTACCCTCAGCTCCTCCACAGAGTGGCCCACTTTGTGTCCTGAGGGTAGGCCTGGATCCCAGCCACCCAGTGAGAAGCCTCCATATCTGTGATGCAAGGTGAGAAAAGAGGGAGCAGCTGAGGGCCAAGGATCAGGGATGGGGAGAGCTCCCTATGGGCTGGCAGGGGCATGGGCATAGAATCAGAGGAGGGGACCCCAAGCCAGGCCCCTCCTTACCTGACCTCATTCACCCACTTCTTAGTCTTCAGGCTATGTGAGAGACAGGCAAAGACCAAGAGAAACAGGGATAGCAGGAGAAAAAGATGGAGGTAGAGAGGGAGGGATGGGGAGTGGTGCCACAGAGACAATTAACAGAGGTAAGGTATGGAGGGCACTTGGAAGGCTCCTAGCCCACAGCCTCAGGCTGGACATCTACCATACCCTTTCTAGGACTGGACCAGCTGCCCAACCCCAGTGGATAGCCCATGCTACAGCCTGGCAAACTGAGATCTAGGACAGCAGCTAACCTATGGTGCACCAGACTTGAGTAGGTCTTGACCAGGAAGTCAGACAGGTTCCAGCCTGTGAGGTTCTGTATCACTTCCCCTGAGCTGGTCAGCGCCTGTGGTGGAGGGGAGCCCCTGGCAGCAGCTGGACAGTCAGGCTGGATGTACTGGCAAGCTGAGGATGGAGACTCTGGTGTCCAGTTTCCACTGCCAGAAACATTAGGCACCACCAACTGGCAGGAGATGGGCTCTGCACATGCGGGGGCCCTGCAGGGTCAGGGTACTCAGCTGTGGGTGCCTGGCATCTGGGGGCTCCAGAAACATGGAGGCTTCCAGCCCCCAGGTAGGCACAGGGGATGTTCCAGGCACCCCCGGAGGCCCACCGTTCAGAGCCCAGATGGGAAACACAAAGCCAGAGAGGGTAAGAGGGGCCCTCACCAGTGGGAGCTATTCTGCATGGAGGACTCCTCCAGTCCTGCCTCCCTCAGCAGTGCTATGAGCAGGTGGTTACGTGCAGAGTCCCTTGGGGCGTCCTCACTGTGTGTGGGGGGAGGTGTAGGGTCAGGGCTGTGCCCACAGGTGCCCAGCCCTCCTGTCCCTGGCCATTTTCCTCTGTACCCACCTAAAGAAGGACACCTGGGCACCATACATGGCAGGATTAAGCTTCAGAGCTGGATAATGTCCAAAATGAGACACGATGAAGCTGAATGTCAAAGCCAGGCCCACAAAGAGGGCGGGCATCAGGATCTGGAGGACCAGCCCATTAGCTACTGCATCAACTTACTCTCCAGGTTCGCTTGCACTCATCCCTGCTCCTGTTCTAGAATACTCATGACTCCCCAGTGTCCTCAATAACTGATTAGGGTTGGGGACACACGACATGGGGTTAAACAGTTTAATTAGGCTACTGTGTGGATGGCCAGGGTAGAGAACAAACACACAGGGGCTCCCAAGCACCAAGACCCCTGGTGTTGGGCCTCCCTCACCTGAGCAAACAGGCCACGGCGGCTGCGGCGAGCAAGCAGAAAGCGCTTGAGAAGCAGAGCTCGGAGTTGGTAGAGGGTCAGTGCCCAGCCCTGCACCCGAACTACAGCATCTGGCTCAGAGCTTTGTAGGACCTGGGTCTTGGACACTGACCCAGCTGTGGGGGAAGAGAGGGTCAGTATTCATGCCACCAGAAGGGGTCACATGCAGAAAGGACTCACCCGGCTCCCCATTCCCCAGGGCTGAATCCCCTAGCAGCATCTTTAGCTGCACAGTCAAGTCTGAGCCAGCAATGCCCATCCCTGGGTACTGCCCATAGCTGCTTTCTGTGGGGCCATCGGGATCAGGGGTTAGTAAGTCAATGGGGGTGCCAGGAATCAGGGACAGAGTTCAAGGCTGTGCCTTGGGCCGAATTTGGCAAAGAATTGGGGCTTGGCCTATTTAGGTCCAACTTAGGGCCAGGGTCAGGGGTTAATGGTCAGGGAGTTGTGGCCACACCCTCTGGGTTTGCATCCAGATCACAGTCCTCTACCACCTTCAGGAAGATCTGGGGAGACAAAGCAGGGGACTCAGAGGCTGGACACGAACAGGAGAGAATTTAAAAGCCCTCAACCCCTCATCCACCATGGGTCCAGGAGGCCTCCCCAGGGACTTCTAAGCCTCCAGACCTTTTTGTGTGCTATGCCTCCTCCCCCATAATGCCTTTGCTCTCAATAAACAAACACCTATTCATCCTTCAAAATGCCACCACCTCCAGGCAGTCCTCTTCCCAGCCCTCCAACTGCCACACAGCCCCCACACCTCCTCGAGGCTGGTGTCCGAGATCCCATAGCCAGTGAGCCTCAGTTCCCCCAGCCTCCTGTCCAGCTCCTGGAAGAGCTTGGTAAAGCTTCCATCAAGGGCGCTCACATAGGGCAGCACCAGCACCAGCTCATGGGGCAGCTCCTCAACTAGCCGCGCCCCAGGCACCCACTGCTGCACCAGGGCCAGAACCTGGGATGTATCTGGGTGGACAAAGGAGGGCTTCAGGGGCCCTTCCAGACCCAGGAGCCTACCCCAGGTCCTGCACTGCCCCTTCCCAGCTCAGTCTTCCTGGAGAAGGGGCTTGGGTGACTCATGAGGCAATAGTCCCTGCAGACAGAGGTTGGGATAAGAACTTAAGGGCAGGGCTTGACCAGGTTTAGAGGTCAGGGGAAGGTGCATCTCTGGGTTCAGCCCAAGGTTTCAGGCAGGAGTCTAGTTGGGGGCTCTGACACTCTTTTGTCCTGAATTAAGCCACTACCCCCCACCCCCCCATTCTCCCACCTTTGCCCTCAACAGCTGAGCTGCCCATCTCTCCTTCCTGCCTGGCATGCATGCTGTCCCCCAAGTCAGTGTCACCCTGTAGTCAAAGAGGTACCAACTGGCTTGGCAATTGGGCTAGGCAGAGCCTCAGGGGTCAAGAGGCAGAAGAAGACTAGCTCTCACCTTCTCACTGGTGATCAGGGGTGGGGAATCCTTCACCAGTGTCAAGTAGTAGCCAGAGCCCAAGTGACGACGCAGGAAGAGTGGTGAGCCACAGCAGCACAAGCGGCCACCTGCTACCACTACCACACGATCTCCCAGGAGCTCAGCCTCATCCAGGTGGTGGGTGGAAAGGATCAGTGTACGACCTGGGCATGGGGACCACCTTGTCTTTGCCCAACCTGTGGCCTCTACTAGGCATTGCCTACCTCATGTAGCAGTCTCTGGCTCCTCCCTCAAAACCCCATCCCCAGAGCCTCCTTGTCAGAAACATTCTCTGGCCTCTCAAGCATAATCCAGGGGAACCTCAGGGCTCCCCAACTCTTACCTTGGCGGTATTTGAGCAGTAGATCCCAAATGCTGCGGCGGGACGTGGGGTCTACACCAGCTGTGGGCTCATCCAGGATAACAACTTCGGAGCCCCCCACAAAGGCAATAGCCACTGACAGCTTCCGCTGCATCCCACCTGGGTGGGGCCAGGGGTGGTATCTCAGTGTGACCTGCCCAGCCTTAGGCAGGACTGTCTACACATATGGACCTTAGTACCTGGCTTCTCTTGGGCCTCCCGGGTCTGTCTCCTGGCTATCTGCCACCCTTGGGATAAAGTCCCAACTCCCTCCCCTGTGAAAGTGACCTCCCTGGGAGGTGGGCTCACCAGAGAGATGGCGAGTCTGCACACACTGTTTAGGGACCAACCCCATGTCCTCCAGCATACGGTCCTGCTCAGGGCCCACAGCAGCTACACTCAGACCCTTCAACCGTCCGTAGAACCAGATGTGTTCACTCACAGTCAGCCTGTGGCCACAGGTGCAAAGTAGAGTGACTAACATGGCAGGCAGGGCTCAAGGGGCACCCTACCCCTTCCCCACCACTGCACTCCAGGCCTGCCAAAACGCACATGTCAAACAGCACATTGTACTGGGGGCAGACGCCCAGGTGGGGCCGGATTGCTGCCATGCTGGACCTGATGTCATAGCCCAGGATGAAGGCAGAGCCACCACTGGGTGGGAAGAGACCGCTCAGGATGGACCTGGGGATACAAGAGTCTTAAAGCAGCCCCCTTCGGCTCGGCGCCTATAGCTCAACCGGCTAAGGCGCCAGCCACGTACACCTAAGGTGGCGGGTTCGAATCCCCAGCCCGGACCCGCCAAACAACAATGATGGCTGCAACCAAAAAATAGCCGGGCGTTGTGGCGGGCGCCTGTGGTCCCAGCTACTTGGGAGGCGGAGGCAGGAGACTCGCTTGAGCCCAGGAGTTGGAGGTTGCCGTGAGCTGTAATGCCACGGCACTCTGCCCAGGGGGACAGCTTGAGGCTCTGTCTCAAAAAAAAAAAAAAAGCAGCCCCCTTCATAGAGAGAAGGGATACCAGCACTTACAGGGTACCTATTGTATGCCTAGTCTAAAAGGGTGTTATATCCTCATTTTATAGGAAAGGGAAACTGAGGCTCAGAGAAAATACTTATTGCCTGCATATTGTGTACCCAAAAGGGATTGGGGTTCCTACTCCCAGATGCCTTTCCCATTGAATAGCTGGAGAAACTGAGGCTCTAGGGAAGGGAAGGGAATGCCCAATAGCTCACAGTGTGGTTGTCTTGCCAGCCCCATTGTGACCCAGAAAGGCAGTGATGTGTCCCTGGTAGAAGTCCAGACTGAGCCCACGCAGGGCTGGCTGTGGGCTGCCAGGAAAGTGCTTCTCCAGGCCACGAATGGAGACTCCAGGATTCAGGCCAGGCGGTGCCTCTTCCACCAGCACTGCAGAGAGCATGCAGATTCAGCTGTGGAGCCATGGGGGTCTATAGGGCCTGAGAGTTGGTTAGAGTTGGTCTATGGAGTCAGGTCCTCTCAGGCTGGGATCTGTGGGAGTTAGGGGACTCCAAGGTACTGGGAGTTGTGGAATCTTGTTTTGGCCAGAGTCTGGGGTTCCAAATCAGGAAATGGCTATTAAGCCCTGTTAGGTCTCACCCTTTGGGTCTTGCAGGACAGGGGAAGGGGCAGGACCCTTGGAGGCCTGAGGACCACACCAATAGCTCCTCCGAAAGAGAAAATTCCAGGGTTCGGGGATCCCGTACTGGCCTGGGAGGAAGGTATGCTTGGTTATTCTTGAGCCCATCCTTATCAAAGATTGGCAGTTTCTGGCCACACTGCTGGAGTCAGGGCAGCCAGGTAGGCCTGACCAGGAGAGCCTACTTGGCTGCCTCAGGCCCTGCCCCATGTGCCAAGAAGCCTCATCCTCTGATGGGGAACAGAACTCCAGGTACCAAATGGCCTGGAACCCCTCCTCCCTACAGCCCACCTGGGCACACAGCCTCCAGGTACCAGGTGGCAAGGGCATAGAGCACAGCATCCAGCAGCAGCAGGCCCGAGACCTGGGCCAGGCTGAAGACATCTGCTATGGGCTCAGTGCCCAGGTTGTGCCACTGGACACCCTGACCTTGTAGCTCCAGCATCGCCAGGCTCTCACAACCAAAGCCGAAGGCTGCAGGTGACAGCAGGCTCTGTGGGTAGGAGCAGGTTGGTCAGCAGCAGCTGCAGCCAAGGGAGCCCCCCACCAGACCTGACCTGGCCCTCACCACAGCCACGCGGCCCCCTGTAGGAAGTTCGTCCCGCCAGGCCACGCACAGGACATAGGGCAGGTAGAGCATAAAGTAGGCTAGGCCACTGCAGGCTGCTGCTGGGTTGGCATAGGAAAATAAGGTGCTCAGCAAGAAGCTCTGGATCACTGTGACCACTGCATAGTCCGCCAATAACAGGAAGATCACCAACGGGTGGCTGTAGGGGAGGATGTCTCCCAGCTGTGAAAGGCACCAGGAACTCAGAGTTCTACTCTTGAGTTGGCCCTGAGGCTCCCACCCATGCTACCTCCTGCTGATCACTCTCTCCTGCACCCATTCTGCAGCTGGAAAGGCCTAGGCGAACCCACCTTGACCACCAGCACCAGGAGAGCTGCGCTGACAAGAAAGGGCCAGAGGCAGCTGAGGAACCAGCTGAGCCAGAGCACAGCACGGCTCAGCCCCATGGAGCGCATCGTGTCGCGCAGCCGCGTCTCCTTTTCGCGCACCACAGCCTTCACCGTCAGCGCCACCGAGTAGGTCCAGGCGAGCGTCAGGAAGAGTGGCAGCCACTGGCTCAGCAGGCGCAAGAACCTGGAAGGCCAGACAGCTGAGAGGCAGACAGAGACCCATGTCCCAGTATCTTAAGGCTCAGCCAGTTATGGAGATTCGCCTCCCTTATCCTCAGAACCCTGAACCACACTCCAGGTTCCAGTTGTCAGCATAGGCCAGGTTCTCCCTGTACCCAGAGACCCCAGATTCTTGGGAACCCTACTCTTCCCAGTGGTCCCCCTAAACCAGCAAGTGGTTCGCAGTTTGGACTGCATGAATGTTCCGAATACAATCTGGACCCCACTCTAAGACCTAAGACCTGGCGGCTGGGGAAAAAGTGGGGAGGAGGGGGAGCTCACGAGTCGTCCACGTAGCATGGGTAGGGCATCTGCTGCAGATAAAGGCCAGCGCTGGGGGCGGCGCCGCTGAGCACGCGGACAGCTGCTTGCTCCAGCAGGTCTTGCAGGTACACGAAGCCGCTCCACACATAGTGCTGGTAGGTCAGGGAGTCCGCGGCCGGTCTCAGGTCCCAAAACCTGCGAGAGGGACGTGGTGGTCAGCTGTAGGGCAGAGCTAGAAACTCCCCGAGTCCTGCTCATCACTCACTAGCTCTGTCCTTATCCTGCGGGCTCAAATACCTGCTCGGCCCAGCTCACCACTTCCTCAACCTGCACCTTCCCAAAGTAGCCCATGCCCTTGGCCCCGCCTCTCATCAGGTGGGCCCCGCCTTTCACGGACCCCAATTGGTCTAAGGAATTGTGGGCTCCACCTCCACGCCGCTGTCCGGCCCAAGTTTTCTTCTATCAAGGTTTCCAATAGGCTGAATGACCCAAGGCCCCGCCCACTAGCATTGGGCCCCTACCCATCCATTACCCCGACCTGTCCCTGATCTTATTAGTCCTGGTGACAACGTCTATGTCCATGCGGATCTTGATGCGCAGATGGCCGGGGCCCAGGCCTGGGGTTGGGCTCTTCATGGTGTCCGGGGAGTCTTCAGGCCCCAAGAAGACGACGCCAGCCCAGAAGCGGCGCTCCTCAAGCAGTTGCAGGGCCCGGGACACCAGAGCCGCCTCCGAGGGCACTGCCTCCACTTTGTCCAGGGTTATACACTGGGGGGCGGGGTTGTGAGTCCGAGGCGTTGAGGTCTGTCTGCCCTCCTCAAACCTCTCTGCTCCACTCCCGGGACCTCAGGGGCCTGCTTCCCCCCTCAGACGGAGATCCCCAAGTGAACAGCCCCTAACCTCCATCACACGGCCCAGCGTGCCCACCAGGCGCCCCAGGTTGTCATAGGCATCCCTCCAGCTGTAGCCATCGCCGCCAGAGTCCAGAAAGGATCGAAGGGCCTCCATGCGGTCCTGGTCTCCAGGTCCTGGTCGCCCCCTCCCTTTGTCCCACATTTGCAGGAGCATCTAGGGAGTGGCAGGTGAAGGTGGGGGCCTGCATCAACCCTTCTTTTGGTTCGCCAGGACCTGTCTGCCCTCCTTACCGTGGATTCTACATTCTACCTCCACACCCTTGCCCAGAATGGGACACCTAGAAGCCAAACCTCCATTCTGGACCCACCTGCAGCGTGGCGACATTTGCACTGTTGTTCATAAAGGTGAAGATCTGGGGTCCAAGCACCCCCCACACCTCCTGGATGTCCTTTATCACAGCCATCTTCTCAAAGGTCCGGTTCACCTGCAGGAATGCCGCCCGGCCTACTCATGACCTCAAAATCAAGCTTCTGCGTCCCCCTGGCTTGGCCCCAACCCACCCGGCTGAGAGTGTCGTGAGGGCTCTGGCCAGCGCCCTCTGCCCCAGTATCAGGGCCGCCCTCACCTCGGCCATGAGCTGCCTGGTGAAGGGTGTGTCAGGTGTGAACAGCAGTTTCCCCAGAAGCATTGGCTTCACGAGTTTCCAGAGCAATCGGGACAGCGGGTGGTCGCCCAGGGTTCCAATCAGCCCAGAGCAGGCGGGGCCTGAGGGTGGGGGAGCCATGAAGCTCCGCCCCCATGCCCCCCATCCCCCACCCCACCCCCTGCTTCCCAGATGGGGGAACCGAAGTCAGTCACTCACTCAAGTTGTTGTCAGCCAGGACTGACGCCGGCTCCTGCCCCACCAACTCCCACAGGTCACTAGCTTCATACAAGTTGAGGGAGGGGCCCCCTGAGCTTCTCGGCCCCTTGGTACTGCAAAGGGCTTCTGACACTAACTCCAGGGGGCGATCTGTCCCTTGGTGTCTCCGCAGTAGTGCCCAAAGCTCCGCCAGGCTGGGCAACGTCAGGAGCTAGAGAGAAGCCACCAGGGGGCGTTGGTGACTCCGCTGCCTGGTCCCACTTCCAGTCCTCAGCAAGGGCACGCAACTGCCAGCAGCACCCTGAAAACTTGCCCACAGGAAGTTCCCTCATTTTTCCTGGCAGACCTTCTTACCTCCTGGGCCAGGTCCCCAGCTGCCTCCACAAACCTGCCCAACGATCTCTGGGGAGACAATGACCTTGATTGAGGCCTCACTCACTCTGCCCAGTTCCCAGGTGGCTCATACTATTACTGTCCCCATTTTACAAACTAGAAAACAAGGTTCAGAGAAGCACATAGACTCAAACAAGTTCTCATGAACTGGAGTCTCTCTCTCTCTCTCTCTCTTTTTTTTTTTTGGAGACAAGGTCTCACTTTGTTGCCCTTTAGTAGAGTGCTGTGGTGTCACAGCTCGCAGCAACCTCAAACTCTAGGGCTCAAACGATTCTCTCGCCTCAGCCTCCCAAATAGATGGGACTACAGGCACCAGCCACAACAACTGGCTGTTTTTAGAGACAAGGTCTTGCTCTGCCTCAGGCCAGTATGGAACCTGTGAGCTTAGGCAATCCACCGGCCTTGGCCTCCCAGAGTGCTAGGATATTACAGGCGTGAGCCACTGCGCCCGGCCTCTGGAGTCTCTTTTTATTTACTTATGAGTTGGGTTTTTTTTTTGAGACAGAGTTTCATTATGTTGCCCTCGGTAGAGTGCTGTTATGTCACACCTCACAGCAGCTTCAAATTAAACTCTTAGGCTTAAGCGATTCTCTTGCTTCATTCTCTCAAGTAGCTGGGCCTACAGGCACCCACCACAACGCTCAGCTATTTTTTGTTGCAGTTGTCATTGTTGTTTAGTACTAATAAGATTAGTGTTGGAACCCGCACCCTCAGTGTATGTGGTTGGCACTGTAACCACTGTGCTATGGGCGCCAAGCCTTTATTTACTTATGTTTTTGAGACAGAGACTCATTCTGTCCCCCTGGGTGGGGCCCCATGGCGTCATCATAGTTCACAGCAACCTCAGACTCTTGGGCTTAAGCAATCCTCTTGCCTCAGCCTCCTCAGTAGCTGGGACTACAGGCATGTGCCACCACATCCAGCTAGTTTTTTCTATTTAGTACCAGCCTTGGCCTCCCAGAGTGCTAGGATTCCAGATTTGAGCCACTGAGCTCAGTTCTTTTTTTTCTTTTTGAGAAAGAGTTTCACTCAGAGTGCAGTGGTGTTAGCCTAGCTCACAACAATCTCAAACTCCTGGGCTCAAGCTATCCTCCTGCCTCAGCCTCTCAAGTAGCTGGGACTACAGGTGCCTGCCACAATGCCAGCTACTTTTTCTATTTTTAGTAGAGACAGAGTCTCACTCTTGCTTAGGCTGGTCTCAAACTACTGAGCTCAATGGATCTTCCTGCCTCAGCTTCCCAGAGTGCTAATATTATAGGTGTGACGCCTATAGCTCAACCGGCTAAGGCGCCAGCCATGTACACCTAAGGTGGCGGGTTCGAATCCCCAGCCCGGACCCGCCAA